AAATTCCGGTAGCAAAATTAGAGAGCGCATTATTCGCTCAAAAATATTTGAAATGTGAGCAGCGAGCACTTTTTAATAATCCCCCAATCACGCCGGAAGATAAATTTTGAATCGAGAATAAAAAGTCTCCTCTTGATTAACGGGGTGGGCCCACAAAGTTGAATATATCATACACACTCTCATTTCCAGTCGAAGTCTAGAGCCACGTGTCAGACAACACAAATACGTTTTACGTCAAAAAAACAATAAACTCGTGCTTTGTGCGGCAATTAGAGGGGACATAATCATGGGCGTAATTGCAGAATTAAGGATTTGTTTGACTAAATAAATAGGTGGGTGATGGAGACACCGATCACCTCTGCTGGCAGCGGCCGGAGGACATGACCACATCACGGCGGGCCTACAAGCTCGACCCGAAAAATCCGGGCACGGAGGTCGCCGCCGAGACGGCAGCAGCCATGGCAGCCGCGGCTATTGTGTTTAGGAGAACAAACCCACATTACGCGAACCTTCTATTGGAGCACGCGCAGCAGGTACTTTTAGTTGGGGGTTTTGGTCATATTTTCATTATTTTAATATTTATGAAAAAGTTCCATTCCATTGTATTTTCAATTTAAAAGCGTGATGTGATATGAACAAATTTGAAATTTCCATCTCTTAAGCCAAGGTCTCAAATTATGTATTTTACTTTTTTCTTCCATGGGTCAATGAGTCGTCCGTGAATTGCGAAACATTACTTTATTTTAAAAAAATTAATTAGCCACAATCATGATCGTTGAATTAAACTAATTAATTATAAACGAATATTTGCGAGGCATGAAATGAAATTATGGAATGAAGAACCCAGTAGTAGATGTACCTAATTAATGGATATTTATGCATATGTCACAACATAGCTACTACGCACATGTTGACCACCTAATTACATAAACGACTAATCAAGTGATGCTAATTAATTCAGTAATTTGACACGTGGTGCAGTTATTTGAATTTGGTGACAAGTATAGGGGCAAGTATGACGAGAGTATACCAGGAGCAAAGGGGTATTACTCCTCTGTGAGCGGGTACATGGATGAGTTGCTGTGGGCAGCTCTGTGGCTGTACAAGGCCACCGACAATATACATTTTACTTGAATTATGCTATTGACAATGCCATTTCTTACGGTGGGATCACTTGGGCCATCTCCGAATTCAGCTGGGACGTCAAATATGCTGGTCTCCAAATCATTGCCTCTATGGTAATAAATTTTATTCACCAAATTAATACCTCGAAGACTTTCAG